AAGTTTTGTCCTATGAGATCCAGGGATCTGTAGTTTTGCAAGCTTTCTTTGGCCTGATGATGATGATGATGATGAATATGATTTGTTGCTGTTTTCTTGGGGTTTTCTTGGCAAAATTTCTTCAGAGAGGGTTTGCCATAGCCTTCCTCTGAGGCTGAGAGAGTGTGACTGCTTGGTCATGGAAAACTACCAGGCAGCCTTGGGCAAGTCACACTCTCTCAGCCTCAGAGGAAGACAGAGGCAACCCCTCCTTGGAACCAATTCTGTTTTTTACTTCAAAAATATGATGTGTGCAGTGTATGTAGGAATTATTTTTTAATTTTTAAAATTTATTTATTTATTTATTTATTTGCTTCGGCCCTCCAATCGTCTGAGGAACAGCATCCGTCCTTTCCTACAGAGTCATGGGGATGATGGACAGACAGAAAGAAGAAGGCTGAACACCAGCTCAAAAAGGTTGCCTACCCCTGTCGTAGTGTGTCCCAGTCCTTAGTTTGAACTTTCCCTTGATTTCTCAAATCTTGTGGAATAGGTCTCTTGTTCTTCCCTTTTTGTCGTTGTCTTTTCTATTTCTTTTGTCATTGTAATAATTTTCCTTATCTTTGAGCACTAGCCGCTGTACTGTTACCATTTTGTTACTACCTGGCTAGTAACCTCTTGAGAGCCAGCATGGTGTAATGGTTTGAGTGTTGGACTAGGACTCTGGAGAGTACGGTTTGAATCTTTGCTCGGGCATTGAATCCCATTGAGTGACTTTGGACAAATCACACTCTCTCAACTGCAGAGAAAGGAAAGAGCAAACCCCTCTGAAGAAATCTTGCCGAGAAACCCCCATGATACCTTTGCCTTAGGAATTCTAAGAAGATATTTTCAGTAGGGTACCATATAAATTGGGAGCCAGTGTGGTAGTGTAGTGGTTTGAGTGCGGGATTCTAACTCTAGAGATCCGGGTTCGAATCCTGCCTCAGCCATGGAAACCCACTGGGTGACTTTGGGCAAGTCACACTCTCTTAGCCTCAGAGGATGGCAATGGCAATCTGAAGAAACTTGCCAATAAAACCCCATGATAGGTTAGCCTTAAGGTTGTCATAAGTCGAAAATGTCTTGAAGGCACACTACTACAACAACCATATAAATTAGCTAGTGTGGTATAGTGGTTTGAGTGTTAGACTATGACTTTGGAGACCAAAATTAGAATCCTCACTCAGCATGGAATCGCACTGAGTGACCTTGGACAAGTCACACTCTCTCAGCCTCAGAGGAAGCCAAAGGCAAACCTCCTCTGAACAAATCTTTCCGAGAAAAAACCATGATAGGTTCACTGTAGGGTCACCATAAGTCACAAATGACTTGGAGACACACAACAAATGCCGCCACCACCGTATAAATCCTTAAAGGAAAATATCTTGTGTCCCTTTAAGTCAAAACTCTTTTTTAAGGGATCATATAGGCTATTGATTGAGTGATCCTGAAACAGATGCTTGTTTACAAGCCCTCTGGCATGTGCTTTTTTAAATAAGTATCTCCCAGCCATTTAGATATATACAGCCCACATACTATTGTGAAGAAATAGGGATTAAGGCCTCCTGGGGTTGGGAAGAGGAGCCTGAAAGCTCAGGTGTTCTTGCCAGGGGGCAAGGCAGGGTTGCCCCTAACTGGTCAGAGACAGAATTGGGCAGTTTGGTGGGACAAAGGCGGTGCTTGACAAACAAGATGATAAAGTCAACAGCTGCAAAAGTTGAAACAAAGGGCTTAATGCAAGCCTTTTGCAATAGCCCTGTTCTTCCAGCTGTGACTTTGAAGAAGAAGACATACATACATGCATGTATAGCCCAGCAACCTGAAAGTCCTTGAGGTCTGGAAGCAGGCAGCTGCACCAAAGCTTTAACAGAGAGGGTAGACAACTGGTAGGTTTTCATACATTGTTGGACTGCAAGTCTCATCTATCTTCACCATGGGTTATGCTGGCTAGGGCTGGTAGGAGTTGGAATCCAATTACATCCAATGCAAGTTGATCATTTCTTTTTCTATATAACCACCTTTGATCAAAATAACAACAGGAGTAGGCCAGATCTGGAGGGTACCAAATGGCCTACTCCTGTTGTTTTGGACTATACAAATCCCATCATCCTTTGCTGTTGGCCAGAATGGCTTGCCTAGATGAAATCTGGAGAGTGTCATGCTGCTTGCCCTAGGTCCACAACACTGATGACTGACAATGCCAAAGCTAAATGCATGAGGGAGAAGGTCCCACTAAAACCAATGGAACTTATTCTATGTAAAATGCAAAGGAGCAGAGCTTGGATGTTTTATTTTTGGACTACAGCTCCCAGAATCCCACAGCCCGCATAGTTAGTGGCCATTCTAGCTGGGGGATAAGAGGACTTGTCGTCTTAAAAAAATTAGCATCTCCATGTTCTGCTCCCATGAGACACTCACTGAAAAAACAGCAGAGGTTTTCCATTCTTCCTGCAGATAACACGTACATATCATTCACTCCATTACCTGTGCAGTGTAATGTTAGCAAACCCATTCTTTCATTACACATCACCATCCATGCACAACAAGGAGATATCATAGGAGAATGCAAGAACCATTCTTCAGAAATGCAAAGAAACTCCTTCTGGTGGTTTCCTTCCCAAAGATCAATGAGGACATTGGGTAAAGGGACTAAACCCAATGGGGCAGGGACTGAATGCAGTTCTTAGAAGGGGGCTCCATATTGCAACATTTTCTTGCAAGTCCCACTTATTTCTGCAGAATGTGGAAGTGGCATAACGATTGTTCATAAGTATAATGTCCTGGTCATAGGTTCCATCTTGAGATCTGAATCCCTTGTTTGGAGAATCCTGAAAAGGAAGCTAGAATTCTGAAATATCATGCCAAGCCAGGAAATTTGACCATCTTAACTGATATGTAAGAGTAATGCCTGAAGCAATGGACTTTGCAATAATACAAGCGATCAACATCCTACCGTTCTTTATCTGCAGTAACATGCAAAGAAGTTAACAGAAAGCCTCTGACAAAAAAAATCCTTTATACCAAGCCTTTTTATGGGACTGCAGCCCAGCCCTACCTTTTCTTGTCCTCTGTCTAGCAGGAAGATTTTTTGCAGCATTAGCACTAAAAGGTTGGTGAAGGAAGGTGGAGAAAGATTGATTTTCAGTGGTGGTTTGCATCAATGTGTCTGCAGTAACGAATGTGATAAAAGCTTAGCCTAGGAAAGAATGGGTTTTGACTCTAGATCAGGGGTCGGCAACGTTAACCTACCTGGGGCCGGTCACTGGTCCCCAGGTCTTCCGGTGGGCCGGGGGGGGATGGCGGAGGGCATGCCCACTGCCGCCGCCGCCGCATGCGCTGCCACCGCCGAGCCACCACGCGCATTGCAGCTGCCATTTTGTTTGCAGGGGTCGGCGGGGGCTGGTCGGCAGGGGTTGGCGGGCCGGGTATGGCCCGTGGGCCGTAGGTTGTCGACCCCTGCTCTAGATGATCCTACCGTAGCTGTGTGTCCTTATGTACAATAGGTAAGATACACAGCTGCTTACAGAATAATTTACTGTGCATGTATGAAGAATAAAATAGAAAGAAAAACAGAAAGCAGATTAGTCTGCTACACAAGCTACCCTGCCAGGTTGAAAAACAGTCTATAAGTTTTGTAATCAAACTGGAAATCATAAGAAAAAATGGGGGCTGGTGAAAGAAAGCAAATCATCCTGGGATGCATTTTGGAATAAGTTCTCTCTCTCTCTCTCTTTCTCTAACACAACACAATAAAAGATCAATAATATACCCTATCAAACTCAGTTTAACGTAATTTACAGCTTATATTAAAATCCTTCACAATAAGTATCTTACAATAATGTAATGTATGAATGTTTTAAATGTTTTGAATACTATATCTATTTAACATTCCATCTAAATTTATTTGAACCTTTTTCGTACTTCCCACCTCGCCTTTGTTGGATTTTTCTTTTTTAATTTTCTTTACCTTTTAACAATGTCTTATTTAGTCAAACTGATTATTCTACCTCTGTCATCACTTCCACTTTTAAACCAATTTATACTTTAATTCTATATCTATTCTTATATTTGTGTGAGTGTTTTCCTATTTGATCATCCGATTAATCTGCGTTTTAATAAGTCTACATGGATAGGGTCTTTATCGCACATTATTTCATTGTTTCGTTTTCATTTTCCTCAAATTCCTTCTTCGTTTTTTTTTTACTTATAGTCACTCCTCACTCAATATATGATAAGCTTGTCATTTTAAAAGAAGCTTTCAAGTGGTCTCTCTAGAGCAGGGGTAGGCAACCTAAGGCCCGGAGGCCGGATGTGGTGGCTGCCACTGCCGCCACCAGGCCAGTCATGCCGCCGCCGCCACCACCGCCCGCTATGATGTTATTATTGTTGTTATTACTTGTTCTTGGGGTTTTCTTGGCAAAATTTCCACAGGGGGTTTGCCATGGCTTTTCTAGGACTGAGAGAGTGTGCATGCATATTTTAATTTATTTATTTATTTATTTATTTATTTATTGAAAATTAAATTTTTATTTATTTATTTATTTTTGGTGCTTCGGCCCCCCAATTGTCTGCGGGACAGCAACCTGGCCCCCGGCTCAAAAAGGTTGACTACCCCTGCTCTAGAGGATTCAAAATGTTTTGTTTTGTTTTTTACTTATGCAAAGTTTACCTAACTTGGTTGTTTACCTAACTTGGTTGTTTCATTTCATATGTGCATAATGTGAGTTTTGAATAAAACATTTACTTAAACATGTTGAACTGCTCTTCTTTTTTGTGGTGTAGAAACCTATTCCCATTTTTCCCATCTTACTTCTAATTCTGGTACCAAGTTTCTGTTAAAGAAGTAAAGCCCAGGAACACATCTACTTCATTAACTGGGATATAGTTGTAATTAATTTAAGTAATAACTCTCCTTAAAGTATTTAAAACAACTGACCATCTACATAGGGAAGTGTGAGAATAATATGAAGATTGTCTCCATAGTAGCAATTGAACCCACCTGTGATAGTACTTTCATGATTCATTCTTTTTTTCCTTGTCTACAACCTGAAGCATATACAATGGGCCCTTGGTATCGGCTAGGGTTTGGTTCCATGACCTCCCGTAGATACCAAAATCCATGAATGCTCAGGTCCCATTAAATACAATGGCATAGTAAAATGGTGTTCCTTATATAAAATGGCAAAATCAAGGTTTCCTTTTTGGAATGTATATTTTTAAAAATATTTTCAAACTGTGGATGGTTGTATCCATGGTTAACGAAGCTGTGGATACAGCCATGGTTTGTTTTGCATTGTCAGTCAAAATCAAAGGGACATTGTTTTGCTTTTAACTCAAGTAGAAAATAAGGCATTTTGACATTATGGAAGCGTCTTTTTTGCTTTTTAAGAGGAAAACAGATCCTTCTTGTATAGGCATGCTCATTTTGTAGTACAATATCCACATGGAATTTTTTAATTATTATTTTAATTAACGCTTATTTCTTCTTTGTGGTCTCTGCGAATCACACAAATGGGTTATTTCTGTGCCTGCGCAGTAAACTTTGGAATCTTCTGGAATCACTAGGGAAGACTTTTTTGCGGTATCTCCACCCACCCTCTAAATAAGCTCGGCATCTTCCTGCCCGTTCTCAGTTCCTTTCGTCCACCATGCTAGCTGCTTCAAGGAACTTTGTTAGTTCTGATCACGAGTCCAAGAGGAAGCGCAAACACCAGCAAGATAAGAGTTCACCTTACAAGGATGAAAAATATTCCAAAAAGCATTGTCTCTCTTCCCCCCACCCCCATGGGAATGAGAAATTGAACCGGCTCGAAGCCGAAAAACTTCCTAAAAAGATAAAGGAGCCCTTGTGCCAACCTGATGCAATCTGTTATTACTATGATTGCTGATGTCCATGTGTCTTCTGGATCGAATCCACCTGCAAGCCAAATTGTATTACACTCGGCAAGAA